CTTGCTGTAAGGATTTGTTCCCTCTTTTGAGCTACTGCATCCATTGGTGTAGGTCAAGTTCATCAAATTGTATCAGATTACTCTTTTTTTCTTTCTTCCAGTTGAGCTCTGTGCCCTTTGATTCTTTTCAGTTAAGTAATTATATGGCCATCTTTCAACTTTCAATTTTCTCTTAATTAAAACTGAATGGTAAGAATTATTCTACTTTTCTGTTTTTTTAAAAAAAATTATTTGAAATATATATTATTAATAAGCTCTGATAGCGTAGTGGTTATGAATTGGGCTGCGAACCGCAAGGGCAACAGTTAGAAACTACCAGCTGTTTCGCGGGAGAAAGACGAGGCATTCTGCTCTCTTAAAGATTTAAAGCCTTGGAAACCCTGTACAGGGTCTCCATGAGTCGGAACCGACTCAGTGGCACATAACAACAACAATAACCTTTGAATAGCCTTCTAGGGTTTTTTTTTTCTTTTTCTCCACTCATTCACTGGTGAGCGAAATTCTATTGATAGTTTTCACATATGTGCTTTCTTAGGGTTTCTGCTTTTGTTTTTTAAGTTATCTTGGATCCTTTATTATCTTCTTATTCACTCACCTGAACATCCCCAACACCTTCGTTTTATTTTATCCTGCTTTCTGGTCCTCATTTTGCCTTTTCATGACTTTAGGAGCTGGGATACTACATTGCCATTGTTTTAAGGTATCTGGCTCTTGAAACATTGTGAAACATTATCCTTTTCCTTCAAAGAGAAATTGAACTTGGTCCAGTATTGTTATGTGATCATAACCATTCTGCCTTCATTGTTTAATGTCCAGTGGAAGCTGCTTCATCTTAAGATATGAAAAAATAGTACCTGGTTCATCTGTTCTTTTTTAGGAACAAGGTTAACTTATATATTGCTTTTTGCTTCTCTTTTCTGCTTTGGCCACACAAAAACTTAGCGCTGAATTTGTGGCTCAACATGACTAACTTTGGCATCTCTGCGTTTTAATTTTCTCATTGACTTTGACCTTTCAGACTTCATATTAATGCCCTTGATCTTTCACATCTTTCACATGATGCCATTTTTTTTTTTAATTTTAAGTTTTTATTGTGGATTGAATGAAGCTTTATAGGGCAGATCATTTCAAGCATTTATATGTATACAATTCAGTGACATTAATTTTGTTTCCCTGTTACCACTACTGCTGCTTCCAATATTTTCAGTACTCTTTTTTTTTTTTTTCTTAAATGTTTTATTGTGAATTATGTGATAGTTTACATAGGAGAACATTGGTTTTACATTTTCATTCTATCGTATATCGTCTCATTGCCATGGTTACAATCCCCTCCATCCCTCCATGCAATCTTTCCCCCGTACCCCTCAGGTCTTCAGCACACAGTTGCTCTCCTTCTCTGGATCTAAAGTCTCCAGCTGCTCCATCGCTCCACATCATCATCTCTGGCTCCATTTCAGGCATCACTGCTTCTCTGGGTAGGGTCCCGCTCTCTGCTCTTCTCCCTTGATGGTCCTAGGGACCTCCACTCCTAGACTGAAAAGTTAATCACTCCCTTCCTTGCTATAAAACGTCTACCTTTACATTTGCAACTCTCGCAATCAGTCCTGATAACAATTATTCACTATTGTATCACAAGAGACCTGTCTGCATTTCATTGCATCAGCCCCGCCTAGACAGATTGAAAATTACTCACTGGAGATTCTACCTTCCTCCAGGCCCTCTGGATCTAGGTTCCCTGTTGAAAGCTTGTAAGCCAGTCACTTCTTGCTTTTGTTGCCCCCTGCCCCCATTTTGGGTAGCCAATGTCCAAGTTGCCCATC